TGCCCGCCCACCTTTCCTGTTCCGGCTCCTTGGACGGCACGGCTCGAGAGGCCTGAAGAGTATGAAGAAACAGAAGCACAGCTTGGGACCAGCTTGGCTCAGGTAACTGCCAGGTAACATTGGAAGAAGCCGTTAGTGCAGTGGGCAGGCGTCTTGGGGGTTACCTCAAGTACCCTCCATCTAATCCTCCTCCTTGCAGTCCGAACGGTTGGAACCACCCGCTTTTTGCGTCCATTTTCCACCCCCCCCCGGTAGACTACTCATGCAAATTTGCCGTGCCTTCTGGCACTCAGCAGCCGAGGCGGGCGGCGTAGCGTTAAAATTATAATTCTTAGGAAATAAGGTTTAGGGTTTACGGCTTTTAAATTCCAATTTTTAGGAAATAGGGTTTAGGGTTTCGGGTTTTTAAATTTCAATTTTTAGGAAATAGGGTTTAGGGTTTAGGGGCTTAGGGTTCAGGTATCTATGGTGTAGGGCTTCACGGCTGGAGCTTTTTCGTGCTTAAGGTGAAGGGCAGTTTAGGGGTGAAAAAGGTTTAGGGCTTCAGTTTAGAGTTTCCGAATGGTACTCTGCTTTAAAAACCAAGTACCCACCCTACAAAAAAAGCACAAAACAGAGACAGCAAAACAGGGGTACTACTGGGGAACCGGGGAACCTGACAACCCTAAACCCTAAACCCTAAACCCTAATCCCTAAACCCTAAACCCTAAACCCTAAACCCTAAACCCTAAACCCTAATACTACTGGGGAACCCAGGAACCTGACAATCCGGTCCAGCATGCGGCTCCCAGTGTCGAGGTCCCAAAACCTCGCGGAGAGTTGAAGGCTTGCTACTCATGGGAAGGGTTTGGGGTTTAGGGTTTAGGGTTTAGGGTTTAGGGTTTAGGGGAGCCATACCCCAAACGATCTACTCTAGGGCGTTTCTGTAGAGTTTCGGATCTACTCTGGGGTATTTCTATCGAGTTTCGGAATCGTGAGGGGCATGTGGTGGGTTTAAGGGATATAGGCTTTGGGGCAGTTCGGCGTTTTGGGATTTCGAGGATGACAAACTTGAGCCAGACAACGTAGATTCTGCTGTCGGGCTTCAGAGCTTCCAGCACTGGTCGAAGTGCTTCTGATTTTGGTCCATAGACGGGCAAAGACAAATTATAATCTAGGGGCCTAAATAGTTACCTATACTATACTATTCTTGGGGTTCCTTATTCTCACTATGGTACAATATATCGCGGAAACCTATTAAAATTATTCAGGCCCCTATATCACCTGGACTCACCTCCGAACCACCGCTGTAGCCCCTTCATTTCGTCGTAGCGGGTGCGGGTTTGCATGAGACCCTCGTAAAGAGTACTTCTGGGTTTCTGGTAGAATACCCTAAACCCTAAACCCGTGCACAGGCCATTCAAAACTTGGCAGCTGAAGAGCCGTGCCACACCGGAATCTCATCAACCCCGGGCCACCCGGCAATCCCCCCCCTCCAGCTCCGGCTAATTCTCAGCTGATGCCGATGTCGAGATATCGGCGTTTCAGAAACATATGACCCTTATTGAAACAACCTGAAAACCTCTAACATCTCCAGGGATACCTCGCAAATCAAATCCCCGAGCCGAAGCCAATGAAACGAAGTCCAGAAAGCCCATGGCAGCCGATGGCATTCTGGTCCGTGAGCAGGTGGGTTCCACCCTCACGTCGGTGTAGCTGTGAAGCAACTCCTGACCACAGTCCAGATAATATCATAAAATATAGTCCAAAATAACTATGTATAATATAGTGTAGCATAAGAAGATATAACAAAACCATGAGGTCAGGCCCCAACTGGAAGACCCAAACACCCGAAAGCCTCGACGCATCAGTCAGCCTGCACAGTTGTGCTGCAAGTTTTGGAAAAAACAACGAAACTCGCAAGAGTGAATGGCGCATTCTACAGAATATCTGCAGCTTGAAACCGCTTTTTGTTTGAAGCCAGTGGCGCAATTAATATCCTGATCCTATCCAGCAACAAACTGCTTCGGGGGATGCCAGAAGCCGGGGCCCGAAGTCGAGAACAAGGCTACAAAAGCGCCGAGCGTCGCTTGCCAAAGCACATGAGAATCTGCTCCTGCGAGCGACTTGTGGAGCTGTGGCCTAGCGGCCTAGGGGTTTAGGGTTTCGGGTTTAGGGAGCCCTAAATGCCCTGGCACTTGAAGAACAGCTCTTTTCGGGGCTCGCGTGCTGCGGGCATCCAACTTCAACAACAGAAGTGACTATTTTGCGCTTGTCGAAACCGCTTCCTCAGGACTTGCCTCGTGGGTCTTCTTGATCATGAACATTTACAACAACCGTTCATGGATACTGCTCACTCAAGTCAACGCAAGCAGCATCACTGCAAACACAGCATAGCAGATTCAGGATGTCCTCCCGTGATGCCACATTCAGTTTCAAACTCCATGAGGCACGGAAACATCGCTCCAGCACTTTGCAAGCAAACTAATATAAGACCCATAATAACTAGAATAGGGTTTTGGGGCCCATTATACTATAATTATAATAAGGAATCCCCAAAAGAGTATAGGTAATTAATGATTTAGGCCCCTATAGTATGCCCTGCACACCCCGCCACAAACACCCTGTCAACCTGCCCCTTGTCCTCCCGCCGGCAGTAAGAAGACGAGGGAACTCTTAAACAGACACTATAGGTTTAGGGTTTAGGGCCTACGGTTTAGGGTATCATTCTTGTCTAAACAAACCGGTTCGACGTATCCAGGTAACCTTTGGAACTCGAAGTTTCAGCTCCTTGCCCTTGGGCGCGAACTTGGCTGCATTGACGTCCGGGGACATGAAGCTCGTGAAGGGCATAGCGTGATGCCAGTTCCTCTGTTGTCTTCGGGCTTCGGGCACGGGGCCACGCATGGCATGATGGCTGTTCCTCGCTTAGTTGTGGTAATCGGCCAAAACGCTTGAGAATGCGATCGTCGAAAAGCTGGTTCTTGCATTGTGTCTTGAAAGCAGGGGCCCGAGTAGCCAGCGTCGGAGTTTTTCTGCAGAAACATATGTTGGTAGGCGTATGTTTGCGTATAGATAAGTGTATGTATACAGACATATATACAAACATGTTACCATCTCAGTTGTATGGCCGTGCTAGCCAACATGCAAGCATTCAAAAAGACAGAACAACTAAGGAAAGGCACGAATGAGTAATTAGAACAGGTCGCAATGATGAGAGGTTTTATGAACAGCCGTGATACCCGGAGTGATAGCAGCAATACGGCCAACATGGTATAGGATCGAATCCTGTAAATCAAGGTCGAAGTGGTCGAAGAGCCGTGATACTAAAACCTACACTCTCTGAAGTCTATGACGTCAGAGCGTCTGTAGCTTCGAGAGCCACCACTTCGCGGAGGGGCAGTGGGACAGCACCAGGTCCCTCGGCAAACGGATGGGCTTTGGGTTTGAGTGATGGTTTAGGGTTTAGGGCTTAGGGTTTAGGGTTTAGGGGCTGCTTTCGGGGAGGACATCTTCAGAGTTTAGGGTAGCGGGTTGCAGGAAGGGACGTAACATGTGCTGCTCTCCTCTATCTTAGACCGATGCCCGGGTTACTCCAACACCGCAACTAATGGGACTACGAATGGCACCGCACGATGCCACTCTAATCTTTCAGGCTTCGAGTGCTTCTTATCCTGCAGCGCCTTTGCAGGCTTGCAGCAGGGGTTGTAATGTTCGGCAAGACTTCGTATCATCGACACTGTTATGTTGCAGCGTCAGCAGGAGCCCTGCATTGACGCGTCGCTCACACGCAACTCCAGGGCAGTCGGGCTGCGCCGAGGCGTGGTGCACACTCACGTTCATTGGGCCGTCAGTGTCGGGGCAAGCTGCTGTTCGGTTCCTTGGGCAACAGACAGAACGTTGATGTTTCGTCCAGGGACCATAGGGAGATGTGTGGGAGCGTAGTTAGCATTTCGCGTTTCGAGAAGCAAACTTCACTCTACAGTTGAAGCGTGACCTTGAGGGTGTACACTACAAAAAGGGCACAGCAGCAGGAAAATGAATGTGACAGTTCTGTAAGAGCGAAACTTCATGATCGTCGCAATATCCCAAACACGAGAACAAGCAACAACCACGATGATATCAACTACGAAGAAGAAGAGCGAAATCGGTCGAGGCAAGGTCAAAAGCGACTCAATTCAGGGGTCCATGGGTCCATGGGTCCATGACTCCATCACATTGTAATCTGTAGAACCGGCTCAAAGCTAGCGGACCTTGGAGCAATGTTGATCCTTTCTCCGGCTATGGTGGATCGTGGTTGGGTGCGCCTGTCCTCCTCACTAGACTTGTTGGTTCTGAGGAGCCCCCGATGCTAAAGCCCAAAGCAGGCCCGCTGACTCCATAACCTGATCCCAAAACCCGAGAGAATCTGCGCCAGAGTCCTGAATGCTGTCCTTTTGGACGGGGAATTCCGGCATGATCGTCAGAAGCACCGATAGCAGTATGACCCATACCCGACATCCTAGCAAGTGCAAGACCCGATCATTCCGAAAATCTTTCCACGAACCAGGGTGGAGTAGATACAACTGCAGGCTGTGGGGTTCATCTTGGTTCGATGCCATGATGCATTACGTAGTCGAGGTCAAAGAGCTTGGCTTCATCCTCAACCTCAACGCCGTCGCCTGCCGTCATGCTCGGGCATGGATAGCGCCAAAAGCTTGACCCTGAAATCCAGAAATCACGGTCATTGAGCTCCACAACATTGATTGACCCCAACAGCCCCCCAATCTAAACCTGTACGCAACAACCCCAAGCCCTGTTTCTTCTATACAATCCCGGGCCTTCGTTTCGTCCCAAAACACACGTGCCCATGCTCCTAAACTCCCTAAACCATATAACCTATCAGTAGTCAAACCTAATATCCTCTCAACACTGAGCCCAGACACCCTACCTATAGTCTCCATTGTAGTTCCTTTTTGGGGTTACCTTATAGGATCCTTAATATAAAAACGGTTAAACCAAAAAAAGGAACTACAATGGAGACTATAGGTAAACCCTATGAGCGGATTCAGTGGAGGCTCTTGGGGGGTTCGCGGCTTGGCATCAGGAGCTCCTCCTAAAAGCAGGCAAGCTCTGTAGAGCTCTAGGGCCTAGGGGTTAAGGGGGTTTAGGGCGTAGGGTTTGGGGTTTAGGGTTTAGGGTTTTGGGTTTAGGGTCAGATTGGGGCTTTATGGGTTTCGGGCTAGGGTTGAGGGCTTCGGGTTTAGGGTTTCATCAGTAATCCTTCTCATGTTAGGACCTCACACACAACGGGTCCCTAAAGCCTCAAACCCTAAACACCAAGCCCGAACCCCAGTTAAAGCCTCAACTCTCAACTCTAAACCCTAAATCCGAATCCCCAGAGACACTAAACCCCGAACTCCCAAACTCTATCCCCCTAACCATCTTCCTTCGATTTCATGGCGCCTTGGAGCCCTGTCAAGCGAGTTGCTACAGCTCCATTGGCCTCGCTCTTGTACCTTCGGATTCAGGGTTAGGGGTTTGGGTTGAGGACCTGGGTTTAGGGATGTTTCGGGTTTGGGAATTTGGGTTTCAGGGTTTAGGGTTTAGGGTTTAGGGTTTAGGGTTTAGGGTTTTCGGGCTTGTAAGGTCCAGGGTTTGCCCTGTGTGTGCTTGAGGGATAGGTGGCTTTAGGCAAGGAGCTTACAGCCATCCCTCTCCTGTGAACTTTGTTAAGTGCCCTTCAATGCCCAAACCTTAAACCCCAAACCCGAATATAATTATCGGGGCCTAAATAATTACCTTTAGTATTTTGGGGCTTTGAACTGAAATTTTTAAAAAATAGACCCTCAAACCCTATTCTAATTATAAAGGCCCCTATAGCAACCCTAAACCGCCCACCCCTAATCACCCAAATCCTCCTCTAATTTCTTGATCCAGGCACCATGACACCAATGCTTCCATCTGAGCTTCGAAGGCCTGGAAACTCGTCTGATCCAGGCCGACTTCCTCGAAGACCTCCCGGGGCTAAACCCTAAACCCTAAACCCCAAACCCTAAACCCTAGTTTAGGGGTTTAGGGCAGTACAGGATTCTGGGACGTTGTTCTAAACCTTAAACCCTACCCATAGGCCCCATAGTAGTTCCTTTTTGGGGGCTCATATTTAGAATCCGATAAGGTAATCCCAGAAAAGGAACTACTATGGGGCCTATGGGTAAACCCAGGGTTCTGGCTTCGAAGCCATGCGGTTCAGACGAGTTTCAGAGGATTTTATCACGGTTATGGACGGATCTTGAGGGCCGTTTCTCATCTAGACCCTATGCACCCTCATCCCTGAAACTTAAAAAACGAAGCTCAACAATATAGTTGTGGTTCAGGTTCAATGCCCAGGCTTACATGCTCAAGATTCCTCAACCTACAAACCCAAACCGCCCATACCCGGCAACACCCTACAACTTAGACCCTCAAGCCCCAGCCGGTCCTAAACCCTAAACCCCAAAAACCTACATCATTTTTGTTTGGGGGGTTCCTTATGATACTCATAGTATATTATACCCCAAAACCTTATTCTAATCATTAAACTCCAAAACCTTGAAACCCACAACACCGAACTAAAAGACCTAAACCCTCAAATGTATGTAACACCCCCGTAAGATCCCGTCAAGACACTAAACGAAGCCCTTTGCATTCCCATTGGTCTTTCCGGGACATGGCCTTGAAGTTGGAGCTGCAGCGCAAGGGCACGAAGTGCCTGTCCTTGTACCTTGGTCTTGGCCATGGTGTCTCTGCATGTCGGGATTTAGGGTTCAGGGGCGTGATTTGGTGGTGTACGGCATTTGGCGGTTGGAAGAACCAGCAGAAAGCCGAAACTCTTTGCCTTCTGTCCCAACACCCATTTACACACTGGCGCTGGCTATTTCTCATCCATTCCAACTTGTGGGGGCTTGTTATGGCTTGCAGGGTTTAGAGTTTACAAATTCAGAACTTAGCGAAGTGGGACTGGCGCATAGGTCTTAGGAGTTCACAATCGAAGGCTTGCAGGTCGTGGTAAAAAGAGACAGAGCAGGTAAACAAGACACAAGAAGAAAACGAGGCCCGGGAGCGCAACCGGAAACCATGTAGCTAGAACACCCCCACGAAGCCCTAATACCCTAAACCCCAAACTCAATCCCTGAAAAACCGGAAGCCCCAGCTTTTATTGAACAAGCGGATGCCAATGATTTCCACACCAGAGCTGCAGAGCAGAGAGCTCCTTCTTGGGCAGCTGTCCGGTGGAAATCTCGCCCTCCATTACCCGCGTGAAGGTGCTGGTGGGGGCCCATCTGCAGATCAGGATTTGGCTGCTTGGTCATATTCGCACAATGTCTGCATGTCTGCGTCACCATACGCACATGTTTAGGCAATTTTATATGTAACATGTGTATACATATGCATCTAGATGCCTATGTATGAATGCATGTGGATGCCTGTCTGCCTCTGCCTCTGGCTCCGGCGCTGGCTCTGGCTCTGGCACATTACATTACACATGACACACACACACACACGCACGCACGCTTGCAGACTTCTGCTCTGGTTCGAATATTCAGCCGAAAGTCACCTGAAAGCCTCTCGGAGAAAAACAAACATTTTTTCAAACGAAACGGATAAGTTGCCACCTCCAGACATCCGTAACAGCCTTCGAATACCTGTAGGTTCGTCTTCGGACCTTTGTGTTGTGGCTAAGGGTTCAGGTTGAAAGCGTTGGATGATGTTCGATGACTGTGTATGCCTGGCAACATGCGCACTTGATACGCGAGCTTTGCCGACAGAGTACAAAGGGTGGGCTCACGTTAAAGCATTTGCCTCCCAAATTCCCGCCTGGTGCAAACATAGATCGAGAAGATGTCTTTCGCCATGGCATCCTGATTGCTGTGCACACCGTAATAAATAACTCCGCAAGCAACTTACGTTCGCTCGACCTCCCCTTTCTTCCAGTGAAATCGTCCTAGAGGCTGCAGAAGCGCGGAAGAAGAGCTGGCACAACCAAAGCACAACTATACTCACGCCCCTGAGTCAAGGCTACCTGCTGCTTTCGAAGCTTACGGTGCTGGAACCGTGGGGTGGCTACCCCGTGCCGGTGTCAGGGCATGAAGCCAGAATGCAGACGTATGACTCGGATCGCCTCAATGGACACGTTGCCCAGAGACTCCAAAACCCCTTAATTAAGGAATATACCTTAAATTATAATAGGATCCCTAATATGATTTAAGGTATATTCCTTAATTAAGGGGTTTTGGAGTCTCTGGGTGCCAGTAAGGCCCGCGCAATGGAGTTGCGAGAGACCTCATCCACCATCGTCTGGACGATGTTCCGGCGGACAGACGTTGCGGCTGAGTTGGCTTCCTCGTCATCTACGTCCTTAGGAACGAACTAGATGGAGTGCAGCAGATTTATGATCTCTTTCCGAACATCAGGGCATTCTGCCTGCTTTGCCGTCGAGCTGTTCATTTTGCAAGCCATCAGTCGACCCTTGCATGCCCCACTGAGCACTGGGATCATAACGACCGTACAACGAAACAAGTCCCCAAGTCCAAAACTGCAGCTTGAAACTGGCCGCCCTGTACTGGCTGCCCTGCTGTCCGAATTGCCGTTCCCCATTGCAGTACAAAAGTTCTGGTATGATCAACCCGGGAAAATATCAGATGTAACTCCTCAATCGGCGCCGAAATCGATTGCCACTGCGGTGCATTCTCAGTGCCCAGGTCACAGTAGTTATGGACCTGGTTTCATGCAGGAATACAGCTTGGATGCTTATAGGGCTTTTAAAGCTTATGGCTTGTTGGAGGTCGTATGATTTGAGGCAAATTTCAGGCCTATAGTACTCAAGTGCTTGTCGGGTGTGTGTGTGTGTGTGTGTGTTTTGGGGGTGTTCGCAAGTGCGTTCGGTACTGTTTAGGGAGCTATAACTGCATGCAGTCATTGCTGGTACAGGGTTTGGGATTTAGTGTGTCGGTCCGCAGCTTGGTGTGCCATCATGTGTGGGTTACAGCGAGCTGCCTTGAAGCAGGTACAGGAACCCTATATAGCAACCCAATATCTTAGGATTAATTTGCTTTGGAGCGCCTTCTAAACTTGCGTGCGGACTCTTCCAGACTTCTGACCTGGATTCGAGCTGAACCCTTGAACCAGGCAACTTTAGAGAAAAGGGCTCTATGTAGTTAGAGATGCTGAATAACATCCTTTTTACAACAAGGCCTCACAAAACCACGTATCCCGAATTTCTGAGACACCCAGATGCTTTTCTTGTCAGCCTGAACTCTAAACCCGAAACCCCTTAAACCCGAATTCCTAAACCCCAAACCCTCAAAGCCCGAAGCCGGACAACCGAAACCTGACAGGTTGAGTTTTGCTCTCTTCGCAATCGCGCACTGCCCCAAGAACCAAAATCCCGTTTCAGCCCGATTCATCACTATATGGGGATTTCCCAAAATAGGGGACCCTAATATAATACCCTAAATAATAGGATCCTTCTTATAAGGACCCCAAAATAAGGTACCCCTTATTTGCGGAAACCCCCATATTGCTACGGAATGTAAATGGGGGTGTACCGGTGAGGGATGATGGGACCTTTCATCGGTGGACATCATGGGCACTCAGGAAACGGAATACAACCACCTGCAGGCCAACTACTTTCAAGTCTTTCAGGCGCACGAGCAGACTGCAGAACGAGTTTGCAGAGGCCCCTCAGGCACACCCCCAGAGGCCCCCCCAGAATACCGCCGGTGAAGTTACAACCCAGCATGCGGGACATGGATCTGCCACCCCCTCACACGCCGCTAAACCCGAAACACCATACCCTAAACCCTAAACC